GCAGAAAGCAAAAAAGGAGTTGGTCATTTCAATGGTACTTTCCTGTAAGGTGGAGACAGAACAGCAGAAAAATAACAGACTAGGTAACATCAGATTGTTTTGTGTAAAGATGTGTGGTAAACATGCACTCAGGGAACCACACTGTCATATGGAACAGCTAGTTTGGAACGTTTGGGTGTCTCATTCTCTGAATCTCTTGCAAGATCAGGTAACAAGCTGGCTTGGATTTGGTGGCGTGGAATGTTGGCATAGGTAACCCTGTTTTGATTTTTCTATCCATGGAAATGAAAGCACTTATAACCCTTCCCGTATGGACCATCCTTGCCTTGTAAGGCGGAAACATAAAAGATAATGTCCCTAAGGTCTCCAGGCAAGTCGAGATTCTTTTTCTGATAGCCCTTGTTTTTTGCTTAGTAGGCACCCACCACCCTAGGCTATAGTACCTCTGAATCTCCCAGGCAGCATCTGTGTGTACTCTCTTGGGCATTTCCTGCAGATAATCAAAAGGATGGGATGGTGGTGAGTAGAAGAACCACTCTTAGAGATAGGGGAGGAAGATTCAAGAGGAAGAACAGTGTATCCCTTGCTGTCTAAGTCATAGCATCCAGCAGACCATTGGATATGGCATCTAGGACTCCAGTGAAGTCTGTGGACTGTGGAGAAACGTCTGTTAGGTTATTGAATCCATAACAATCTTTCAGCAGTGGAATCAATGGGCATCCGGAATGAATCCCAGCCAGAACAGACACATTAACTAGGAAGTAAGACTGAGGAAGTTCATTCCAAGAAGGCTGGATGCCAAAACTGAGCTCCTTTAGGTAGAATGGTCAGACGGGGTAGGTCAGAAAGAGCAAGAGGCTGCACTTGTGGGTCTGCTAACATCTTTTATCAGGAAAGCTTCGGGAGAGATGGGAGTGAGCGGTGCAGAAGGAAGCTGTTTCTGCTCACTAGGGGGAATCTAACTCTAACTGAAACGGAAAGCAAGAGCAGAGCGACCAGTTTGAGACAGGGTGGTAAGACTGGGGGCCACATTCAGAGAGGTCGAACTTCACAAATTTCAAATGTTGCCCGTCTGTTCAATGGAATTGTTTCCGCTAAGGTGCCTATCCACCCAGTTATAAGATCAGCTCTATAGACCCAAAGCAGGTTCTTCAGTATGACTTCTACTAAGGCAAAGGGGCATATTTACTGGCCTTACTGGTGAGAAATAGTAAAAAGCTGTATTATTTCTTTGCTGTTCAGTGTAAGAGCCATTAGCCATATGTGGTTCATTAAACTTGAATGAATTAAAATTAAGTGAGTTGAAAAAATTCCCTTTCTCTCTCCAGCACTGTAAAAAATAATCTGGTTTCTCGGTCATATTTACTATTTATCAAGGATTCAAGAGCCACAGTGGCCGGGCGTTGGTGGCAAACACCTTTAATCCCAGCACTCGGGAGGCAGAGGCAGGCAGATCTCTGTGAGTTTGTGGCCAGCCTGGTCTCTTGAGCGAGTGCCAGGATAGGCTCCAAAGTCACACAGAGAAACCCTGTTTCGAAAAACCAAAAAAAAAAAAAAAAAAAAAAAAAGAAAGAAAAAAAAAGAAAAAAGAAAGAAAGAAAAAAAAAAAAAGAGCCACAGTGACTTCTGGTTACCACATTGTTCAAAACCAGACAAGAATGCTCTCATCTCAAAGCATTCTTTGGGGGAAATAATGCAGTGAGGGGTCAAGACTAAGGCCTAGGAAAGCTCAAGTCCCAATGAAACTGAAGAGCACATATAGAGAAAGTGATAGTGAAACCTGGAGGACTCCCAGGTTCTGTGTAGAGATGAGTGTGTTTGAGACCATGATCTGAGGTGCTGAGCCTCAGGTGACACTGCTCGGAATCATGTCACAGGAGATGGAAGGCTTCTGAACTTGTCTTTGTGGCTGATGAAGTCAAGCAGCTTTGAAACAAGGTAATCAGCAGATTCATTGTTGATGCACAAACTGTTAGGTTATCTTGGCACTTATGTTGAAAATTGGTTAGAAAGAGCAGCCTTGAATATAATACCAAAATCCTCCTTGAATGAAGAGATAGTGACCAATAATTAATGGTTCACAACAGAAGGTTAGATAAGTTAGACAGTCTAGATCCCTCTGAAGTGGAGAGTGGCTGCGCAAGGTCCTTGATGAAGCTAGCAGTGTCTGGGGGCCACATGGAGTCCTTTGGGTAGAACCAGATTTCATGGAAAGAACATTTAAGAGTATATTTATTGAAGAGGTTCATCTATAATGGAGTCTAGTACAATGGAATGGGGCTTCCAGCAAGCCTAGAAAAGCTTTGAAGGAAGTTTACAAAATGAAGAAAAAACTTGGAGTGTAATAAGCACAGTAATATGAGGAAGAGATGATGAAAGCATTACCCGAGTTTGGGGTAATGACCAGGGAAGACTGGTATATTGGTGGAGCCACAGACTCAGAGTTCTCAGATCATCGGCTCCATGTGGCACTCAGATGGTATCTTTCTGAAAAGGCCCTTTAGTATTCTTGATCTCTATTTCCTGGTTGGGGAGATGTATGGCTGAATTCCTATGTGCCTAGCTCCTGACATCATCATAGCAATTGGTTACAAGTAAATCTACACCATGTCTCTTGCCCAAGTGTTAGAGGAAGGAAGGATTCTCAGTGCTTTCCACCAATGGAATCCCAGGGAGTTCACTTGCTTAGAGGCCCCACGTTCTGGGGACCGTAACAGTGAAGGCCTGAAGCCACTGGGAAAAAACAGACCTTGTGTCAAATCTTCCCTGTATGGTCACAGTTAAGAAGATGCTCCTTCCTGGTCCAGAGTGACATCAAGAAAACAAGAGTCTTGTGATGAGCCAAAGCATGTAGACTGTGAAATACTTTCAGTTCCACTCAGAACAGCTACAGAGTGATTTCCACCCCTTTGGGAGTAGAAGGGTTTTGGAGAAGGTAGAAATGAATGTGTCCAGTCATCACCTTTGATTCCCCCACTTTCCCAAATAGGAGTTCTTGGTAAAAAAATGCAGATTCTGGTTCAGATCTTGGGTGGAAGCAGAGAGTCTAAGTTTCTGAGCAGCCCTGATGAGGCCAATGGCTTTGGTCTGCTTTATATTTGTAGATAGAGAGGGAGCTTCAGTGAAGAGGAAGTCCCAGTTATCTTTCGGAGAAGGGGCCTGGGTTGGAGAAGTCCCACTTGTCATTAGTAGACAGAGTGAATTAAAAGAAAAGTAGGAGCCAGGCCTTTAATCCCAGCACTTGGAGGCAGAGGCAGGCAGAGCTCTGTGCATTCAAGGCCAGCCTGGTCTACAAAGCTACACAGAGAAACCCTGTTCAAAAAAAGAAAAAAGAGAGAGGGGGAGGGAGGGAGAGGAAGGAAGGAAGGAGAGAAAGTAGGTACTGTGAGTCTCCATAGAGGAAAAAGAAAACCTGTATGTCAAGAAGATATAAGAAACGGAGGGCAGAGCTGGGTGTTGGTGGCTCATGACTTTAATCCCAACACTCGGAAGGCAGAGGCAGGGGGATCTCTGTGAGTTTGAGGCCAGCCTGGTCTACAGAGCAAGTTCCAGGACAACTTCCAAAGCAATACAGAGAAACCCTGTCTCAAAAATAAAAAAAAGAAAGGAAAAAGAAAGAAAGAAATGGAGGGTGAACTCATTTCCAGTTCAAGAAAAATCGACTGATGGTTGAGCAATAATGCTACATCAACCAATAGCTGGTCAGTGCTTCAGCTGCCTGCTTGGTTTCTCTATTAGATCATCTGCCCAGAATCACACAATAAATTAGCCCCAACCCAGAATGTGTCCTGCCAACACTAACCCTCGCAACATTACGAACATTTACAGTAGGTGGCACTCTTGCCTCTCATTTAAGAGATTAACAAAGGTGTAACAGATGACCAGATGATGTAAATTGTCCTTAGGTCCCATTTTCACTGTCGTGGGAACCTGGTGATTTCCCTCTCCCTTCCAACCCAGATATGCACACTGTACTTCACTGGTGCCTGGAGTATCCCCTGAGACCATTGGCAACCCTCTTGATCATAGGTTCTCATGGGGTGGTGTGCAGGCTTTGCCAAGTGCACACCCCTGCTACATGTCTATTGATGTCCTATTTGAAGGGAGGCCCACTGAGCAGGTCAATTTATTTTTTCCTGCACCGCAACACTTTGAGTGGGACTCTTCTCATCTCCTTCACCTTCTCTTCCCTCCCTTCCTACAATCCTGAATGATGAATGGCTCTTTATGCAGAACCTTCTCCAACCGTCTCCCAGTGGCAGCATCCAATTTGATGTGAACCAGTAACAGCACACTCGCCTCACCTTTCACCCCTCAGCTCCCTCTATTTACTTTCCTTTCTCAGTCTCCGGTAACTCCGTGATCCAGAAAAAAATGTCCTACAAGTTGACTTATGCCAGCATGTCCTTTCTCTGAACTTTTCCATCATGTTCCTTTGGGCTATAACAGTTCCCAGAGACAATGAAACCTGGGAGTTGCAAGTCAGTTTCTCTGGGGTTTCTCCAATAAGGCAAAGCACCTCCTCACCTTCCCACCTACAGTTCACTCCCAACATTCTACTTGTGCTCCTTAAATGCTCTGACCACCACAATCTCCCAAGAGTCACTCCTTTTTTGTTTTACAATAGCAAACCAAAAAATAAAAGGAATGCATGAGCATGGGAGGGTTTAGGGGATGGCACAGCAGTTATGAAAGCCTGTAAAAACCACAGTGAGGATGGTCAATATTCTGGTTTAGAAACCTACAGAACCATAGTGCGGGAGAGAATACTAGAACATTACTTCAGACCACCTCCTTAATCAGGTGAGAAAACAGACACACAAATGTTGCAGTCTGCACAAGTGGACAGTGGAGCAAGAATAAAGGTCTAATCCAGATGTCCAGCATGGATGCCCAGTTCTATACCTTAACATCCAGCTGGAGGCCAGATGCTGTGTTGGGAGAACAGAATTTCTTCCTTCTTGTTTCCTCTCCCTTAATTCTCAGTTTTTCTATTTTAGATGCTGTTTCCATGAAGACCCAAGCTTATTTCAATAGGACTGCATACCTGCCATGCCCATTTACAAAAGCTCAGAATATAAGCCTGAGTGAGCTGGTAGTATTTTGGCAGGACCATAAAAAGTCGGTTCTGTATGAGCACTATTTGGGCAAAGAGAAGCTTGATAACGTGAATGCCAAGTACCTGGGCCGCACAAGCTTTGACGGCGATAACTGGACTCTGGGACTTCACAGTGTTCAGATCAAGGACATGGGCACGTATGATTGTTTTATACAAAAAAAAACACCCAAAGGATCAGTCATCCTCCAGCAGACAGAGACAGATCTGTCAGTGATCGGTACGTGGTCAATGTTGTGTTCAGATCGTTGGCCTGCTCACCTGCAACTACAAATGAGCAGAGAAACATTGAGGCTGGGGATTTGACAGGATTGGACAAGAAGAAGACAGCCATTTCTAGGAAGTCCATTTGAAGATAATGTGGGGTCTGAGGGTGGGGAACTGAAAGCCCTTTGTGTTTCAATGGTTTGCTTCCTGGGGATCAGTGAGAATTTTCTTTAGAGACAAAATAGAACTAGCTGAACAAAAGTAACGCAGCTAGATGAGAACAGTGGGCAATGTGGCTATTGCATCCATTTTCTCCTTTAGTCTAAGATTTCCTCACCCACAAAACCTGGTCTGGAGGCTGAGAGATGACTTGGTGTATAAAATGACTGTTGCACAAGCATGATGACCTGAGTTTGGATTCCCAGAACCCATGTAAAAAGTCAGTGGCACATGCCTCTAACCTCAAAACTTGGAGGTAGGGAGTGCAGCCAAGACAAGAGGATCCCTGATACTGTTAGGTCAGCCAACCTAAAAGAATCAATAAGTTTCAGGTTCAGTGGAAGGCTACCTTACAAAATAAGAAAGATGGAGAATGATTGAGGAAAGACATCTGATGTCTACCTCCACATGTGTACACACACTTATGCACACATACACAAATCAATTTCATACCTTAACACACACACACACACACACACACACACACACACACAGGAGTGCACACAAAGAGATTGTGGTCTGGAGCTCCTACCAAAGGTGGCAGCTGATGAGGGCTTTCCTTTCAACTTTGCATAGATTGCTTTTTTTGCTGCCCCAACCATGAGCCCAGCAGACTGCCCCAACCATGAGCCCAGCAGACAGAAGGGAAACAATCCACTGAACAGAACCCACAGACCAACAAACCAGCTTCTCTGTTTCACCAAGCTGTAGAAAGCCTGCATGTCACTATAGACTTTTGAGACTGGCATACAGGCTATCATTTGAGTGCATAATTTATTAATTTTATAGATTCTGTAGAGAAGTTTGTAACTGCCACAATAGATAGGATTCAGGACACTTCCATCACAATGAAAAATTCCCTTCAGGGTAGTTCCTTTTGGAGTCATTCTCTTTACCCAGAGCTGTTGTTTGGGTCTTAGAGTTTTGTCATTTTGAGACTATCATATACACAGAGCCAAATGTGTGTATTTAACCTTTAAGACTGACTTATTTTACTCAGAAAAATGCTTCTTGTGTTTCAGCTGAGTGTATCAAAAATTTGGAAGCTTTTTTTTTTAATTGATGAGTTACATTTTATTGTTTATCCATCCAATCACTGAAAGACTCTGGCTTGCTTCCAGTTTGAAGCTGTTACAAATCAAGCTGCTGTAAACATTCAAGAGTCAGCTTCTATGTGGACCTACTTGTGTTTTCCTGTGGACCTAGTTGTGTTTTTCCCGGGTAAATGCCTAGGCATGCTACTGCTGGATCCTGATGAGTTCTTAATGAACTTGGAAAAGGCAGAACAACACCTTTTGAGATGTAGCCTTTCCTCCTAGAACGGATCTTTTCTAAAAATCACATAATCAAACAGGCAAAAACAGCCATAGAACACACTCCCCTTGAGTGCAATGTGATTCAAACAAGGCTGCTAAGTCAGTGTTCCCAGTGTATGGCAGGCACCTTTGGAGAAACAGTGTGTTTTAGGCAGGGCACAGACAAGATTTTAAAACCAGTTGTCTATTTGTTACAATGTGTGTTACTGCTACAACTTAACCAGTGACTGCAAAGGTGTTGCTGATGAAGCCAAATAGAATCTGGTGAGCCTCAGCAAGCATCAGCAGGATGTTCAAGAGCATAACAATATCGCAAAACTCAAAGAAGTTGACATGCCAATGACTTCTATTTTAGAAACAATACATTGCATTAAATTTTTGATTATGAGTCTAGCCTTTATGAGCCATCTCTCCGTCCCTATATTGAATTATCGGTCAGTAGATAGAATCTGCAAACACCCTAGTAACTATGGGAGAACAACAAGAAATTTGACTGGCTAAAGGCATACTTGTCAGGCCCAAGACCTACTATGTTCCAGTGCATGTCAGCCCTGAAAACATGGGTGAAAATAAAGATGAGAGAGCATTGAATTTGCCCCCAGATGGATGAATCCTTATAGCACAGTGGTTCTCAACCTTCTTAAGTTGTGACCAGGGAACTAATACAGTTCCCTGGGTGGAGAGTTGAAATGCTTCCCTGTGGGAATGTAGGCCGGATAGTCAGACCAGGTCTCCACTTAGACTCCACTTCTTGGAATAGTGGTTTCACTCTAGACCTTGGTGAGATAGTGTCAGCTAGCCTGTTTCTCAGTGAGCACTTTCTTGACTTAGATAAAGAGTTAAGTGGGTTTCCTGAAAGATAAATGTAGGTTTATCGTGTGGCCCTCACTATGGGCTGAGACCTACACCTTGAGATTCCCAGGTGAACCCCAGTCAGGGGATTTGCTGTTAGTTATTTGCCATCCTTTGTAAATACATTTAGACTGACTGCATCTCTATTCTGTTTCCAGCTAACTTCAGTGAACCAGAAATAGAATTTCAGAACATAACAAGAATTTCTGGCATAAATTTGACCTGCTCATCTAAGGAAGGTTATCCAAAACCTACAAAGATGTATATTTTGGTAACTAATTCAACTAATTCAACTAATGAACACAGTGGTGACATGGAGATATCTCAAGACAATGTCACGGAACTGTTCAGCGTTTTCATTAGTCTATCTGTTCCATTCCCGAACGGTGTGAGCAGCGTGACCACCCGGTGTGTTCTGGAAATTGAGTCAATGAAGATTTTCTCCAGACCTCACAATATAGGTAAGGCTGCTTCCCAAGACTACTTATTTCACCGGAGTTACATGCAAACCTTTTAGCCCAACCATCCAATGTTCACTGCTTGCTGGGAAACTTCCCAGCAGGCCACTAGAAAGGATCCAAATAGAAGGCTGTTGCTACCTCTGTATGATCCAAGGCCCAAGAGTTTACGAATCTGGGCTACACTTGAAGAAACATGGTTTTAGCCCTGAAACTAACTCAGACTTTGGAGCTATTCTTGGGTGGAGGATGATGAGATGCTGTAGCCAGAAAATAGAAGATATCGCCTAGCAAGAAGCCTTCACTTGAATAAAATAGACACACACACATATGTCCCGTATTTATACCTGTGCCCCAACAGTACTTATTGTGCATATGGAATCATTCTAGGCATTGTTGATTATAAAGCTGAAATCTCAAAGATGGAAGATATCTTCTAGTTCTTGAAATTCTTCCAGGAAAATAAGAACTCCATGATATACATATATGATAAACTGAATTTTAAGATGAAATTCAAGTCTAAATTATAGTTCGTGGGAACAATTGCCTAAATTTAAAACAAAGTAATAATCAATTCTGTGAGCATTTAGGGGCTAGCAAGATCTCTGAAAGTCAGGTAAGTCTTCTAAAGGCACTAGGGCTTTACCATACTTTAAAATGGATTGTTGAGCTTGGTAAATATGGTGAGAAAAGGGACAGAGTTCTAGACGAAAGACCCTCAAATTTGCAGTGACTTTCTGCACAGAGAAACTATGAGGTAGCAAGTGTGTCCAGCTGATGAGAGGACCACAGTGATCCAGCTGTACCCAATAAGAAGCAGGAAGTATGTTCGAGACAGACTGGGTGAAGGCATGCTCGTAGCATATTCTTGATGTGTTTTGGCTTCCATGCTGATGGAAAAAAGTATTGAAACTCAGGGCCAGCTTAGTCCCATTGAGAGTTAATATATGCCAGCACTCCCCTTTGAGAAGCAACCACTCCTCCTAGAATGAAGGTGCCCTGTACCCAGTTGACCCCCATTACTGTTTTTCTGAGCCTGATCTCATCCCCCAGCCATCTGACTTCTATTTCTGTGGTCCCTTCTCCAGCCCATTCCCTATGATCTGCTCCTTCTGGTGGCATCCATCCATCTACCCATCCATCTCTTTCTGCATCCCCTGGTTTTGCCTTCTCCTTACTCAGTAACTCAGCCTACAAATACAAATACCCCTATAAATATCCCTAGTCTAGTCTAGTCTAGTCTAGTCTAGTCTAGTGCCCACTAAACTAAACTAAACTAAACTAAACTAAACTAAACCCACTCGCTCTCCTGATACTTGTTTCCTGTTAGTAAAAGATGGGGTCACCCAGATGTCCTTGTTGCTTCTACTGCAATATTTCCTAGCCATCTAGAGGACACCCTAAGTAGTGCTTGAAGCTCAGCACTTTCATGTAGCCACCAATATCATGCCTCCCCCACCATCCTTGTCTACAAATAAGCAGGGACTAATCAACATGATACACTCATTGTGGCTCACCTCTATTTGTCAACCGAATAGAACTTCCCAGGTGCCACCTTCAGAAATGCTTCAGCTCTGGCTCCCTCCACAAAAGGGCTTCCGTCTCTGTGACCCCAATCTGTGCCTTGATCAGAGATAGGTTAGCCACTGAGTCTCTGAGTATCAAAAGGTGGAAGTCTTCCAATAAAAACCATAACCCTCCTTTATTGGAAATTCCAAACAGGTTGAAGTGAAATAAACAGGGACACACTCAAAAGGTATTAAATATAGTCCACATGTCAACAATTCTTTGCCTTATTATTCTAGGAACAGGATGTGTACCTACAAATTGTAGCTAAACTATGGGAGATTTTTAACCCTAATTTTAGTACAATCTAGGCTTAAATAAAAGAACAGTTCCTTTCAGTGTCTATAAAGTTAGCCACTCAACTTTCCATCAACTTTCCAGACTGCAGTTAGGCATCCCATTTTAACAAGTAATTCCTGGCCTTCAGGATATGATTCTCCTGAGAATGAGGAAATACCAAAGGTTTTCTAACAGAGGCGGCACACCAGAAGGCAGGCTGAGGGATCCTTGGGCTACCTCAATGGAAATAATAATCAAACACTTTGAAGTAGCTACCCATGAGAAGGTTGTTCTATTTGCCCAAGTGAGAGGTGATCGAGAGACTGACTTCAAGATGATGGTAGATGGGGGACCATTATCAAGGAGTTTTCCAAGCCTCCTGTTGTTGATTTCAGTTTCCTAGATCCAAGGAAATGGTTGAAAAGAAGGGAGAGGGGAAAGAGGAAGGGAGGGAGGGAGGGAGGGAGGGAGAAAATTTACAACTTTCATAAATGAGTTTCTTACTGACAGAAAACTTGCAATGATTTCTAGATCTTCCAGAGTTCCAATCTGTTCAAAAGGAAATGAAAGCCTGGATTGCAGGAGTCATCATCATCGTCGCTGTTCTGGGTGTCATTGCATCTGGGCTGTTTTACCTATACTGTAGGAAGCCAGAGCAGCCTGGCATCTCTTAGAAAGGTAACAAGTGTGTTTGTCCTGTCTGAAGATAACCAGTTAAAGTTTGTTTGTAACAAACATACAAGATGAGGGGGTAGCTTGGCCGTGCAATGTTACATAGCATATACAAGCTAAGTTCAGTCTCCAATACTGAGGAAACAATGGGGTGATGCTTAGACATGCATATCCTGCCCTTTGCATACATTCAACTCCCCCTTGTCATTTCTTGCCCCCCAATCACTCACACCAATGACCCTCTTTCTTCCTGACATTTCTCTTCCTTTCAGGAGATAGATGACTGGTAGATCCTGCATGAGAGAAAACACATTATAATTGTCTTTCTGCATATGGCTTATTTTGCTTATCATGATGACCTCTATTCATTTCCTTTAAAAATGTCTTAATTTTGTTCTTAACAATGGTTCAATAAAACTTTAGAGCACATATATATGTATGTATATAACTCATGTTCTTTTTACTCTTTTATCTGTTGATGGTTCTGTGTTTTGGCTACTGTGAATAGTGACGTAACAAACATGGCTTCTGTGCCAATATCTTGGTGGTGTGCAGACTTAGAATTCTTTGGTCATATACACAGGAATCATATAGATGTGTCACATGGTAGTTCTATTTTTAGTCTTTTGAGGATCCTCCTTACTAGTGACCAACCCCAATTGGCATTTTCACAAACGGTGGGTAAACCTCCTTTTTTCCTTCCATCCTTTCTGTCATTTGTTTTCCTGATGACATCCATTCTTGACTGAGGTGCCATGGAATCTTGTAGTAGTTTTGAGTTGTATTTCCTTAACAGCTAAGGATATTACATAGTATGTGCATGTGTGTGTTTATGTATTGGCCATTACTTTGAGAAGTGACTCTTCATTTATTAATTGGGTGCTTTGGGGAGGTTTCTTTTGTGTTATAGTTTTAAATTTCTATTTTTTTTGTTGAAAATCTCCTAAATGTACAAGAGACAATGTTTGTTGATCATATTCACTCCTCGTTCCCTAACTTCAATTCTCCTAGATCTCCTCCCATCACCTCCCCCAAAGTCTGTCCTCTTCTATTTTATTGACTTACTTAATGCACTGAGTTTAATTAGAGTATGACGTAGGCATGGGGTCCTCCACTCGTGCAGGGCACAGACAGCTATCTACATTGCCACATTCCCAAGAATAAGCAGCTCTCTCTCCAAGCAGCCATCAACTGCTAATAGCTTTTCAAGTAGGGTGGGGCCTCGGAAGCCCCAGATGATGAAAATTTTGACTGGCTGGATCTTGCACAAATCTTGTGTGGGTTAACATAGCTACTGTGAGTTCATAAGACAGTGTCTCACAGCCCTGCTCCCCATCCACAGGATCTTATATTCTATCTGCCTATCTTCTGTGAAGTGCCCTGAGTCTTGGGGGTTGGAGGTCAGATATAGCTGTCTCACTGATTGATAAATATTCAAAGTCCCTTATTTTCAGCACTTTGGACAATAATGTGTCTCTGCATTAACCACTACCCATTACAATAAGAAACTTCTCTGGCCAAAGTTGGGAGCAACATAACCTGTGGGTATAAATGTAAATATTTAGAAGGCAGTTTGATAACATAACCATTTAAAAGAACATCATCAATAGATTCTCCCCTAGGGCCTGTGACTTCCTCCATCCTGTTTACAGTACTAGGCATGAATTTCCTCTAGTAGAGCAGACCTCATATCCAGTCAAGGGATCAGTTGGTAATCTCCATAAGAGTCTTGCCACAGTTTGCACTGGTGGTTATATTTGGTCTGGAAAGTGGGTGTTGTAGCATGCAGGGAGCAGCACTAGAGGAGACCATTGGTGGCTCTTCTCCCCCAACAGCCTTTGGAGCACCTTCTAGCACTATTAAAGCCATCTGTCAAGGAGAAAGTTTCTTGGGAAGTTCAAGATTGATTTCTCTGTGTCTTGCAGCTTAAGTTTGAGGTGTCTTCAGCAACAGAGTCTTAGCCATCCAGGTCTGATGGGCAACTGTGAGCAACAGCAATAGCCTGTGTTGTTTTGGGTGTTCCTGGGCCTCTCTGATGAATTTCTTTATATCACGCAGCTTTGGGGGCTTGTTTCTCCTGGAGTTTATTCACATTCTCTTTGAGTTGTCTGAACATAGCTATAAGCATTGGAACCGTTGGTCAGGTCTTCCAGGCTGTTTTCATTAGAGGAATACCTTATGTGGGGAGGGGGGGTCAGTGATTTGTGCATGAGATGTGCTGTCTGTCATCTTGTTTTTTTTGTGTTGCTCTTTATTCTGCACTGGGACTTACATATCTGAAGTGGCTTGTTGGTTTACACTTCCTTCCCTTTCTTTCTTTCCTTTGATTTGATTTTTTTGTTTGTTTGGTTTGAATTCTTTTTGGTTTATTGTTGTTGTTGTTGTTGTCATCTTTGTCTTTGAGGGGAAGCCAGGATTTCCTGCTTGTTCATGTGGCTATGAAGCCGGTGCTCCTGAAGAAAAGAAATGGGGTTCTTCATGTATTT